ACTCCTGGTGTTTGGGTTGAGCAATGGGAAGGGGAGAGTTATCCTGTAGCAAGCTGGGAAGACTGTGGGAAGAGCAGATTTCAGGAGGCAGAGACAGGGATTCGGTATCGGTCATGTTAATTTTGAGATGTCTATTAAACATCCAAGTGGAGATATTGAGCATGCAATTGGATTTAAGAGCTTGGAGTTCAATCAGAGTCCTAGAAATATGAGTCTAGACTAGAGACACAATGTTGGGAGTCATGAATGAATAGGTAGCATTAAAGCCAAGGGACTGGATGAGATCACATTATAAGTAAGTAGGTAACAGAAGAGCATAGAAAGTGCTGAGGCATTCCTACACCAACATGCCCGCCAACAGATGATGACACATCAGCAAAAAAGACAGAGAGGACACCACCTGCGAGTCTGGAGGAAAACCAAATGAATGGGGTCCTGGAAGCCAGATAAAGAAGATATATTAAGGAGGAAAGACTGGTCAACTATGTCAACTGCTGTTAACTGGATCACTGCTACTCGTCAAGATAATGCCTTGCATAAAGTAGAAAAAGGCAACCTTTCTTGGGAATGTGTTCCCTCTAACCAGCAAGTCCGCAACTGCAATGTGGATTAGATTCCCCCCAACTTGCCACTGATCCCTTCTTTTAGGTGCCCTAGGGCAGTTATAACCTGTACAGGCGCCCAAAGGTATACGGTCACTCTCATTGTTGAGTAGGATAAGAACCAAGACTTGATCATGAAATTTGGCAATGTGGATGTCATTAATGACCTTGACAGGAGTCATTTTGGAAGAGTGGTATCACACATCCATTAATGTTAAGGGTTTCAGAGGAAATGAGAGCAGAGACATTGGAGACAGTGAATATAGAGTGCTCTTTGGAGGCGATTTGCTGCAAACAGGAGCAGAGAAATAAGGGAGTAACTGGTGGGAAACATAGGGTCAAGATAAATGGAAAAGTAACAATATATTGAAGTGCAACAGAATAGATGTACAGCATCATCCTCTATTTGCAGGGACCATGGCAGTGGCTTTGTCACTGTTTTCTTACATCCACCCTTGCATCCTGTAATCTTTTGTCCAAATATCCCCCGAGTATGCATCTCTTAAGTCAAATACTCTCTCTTTCCAACACACTTAAATAATATCCAAAGCCCATACGATGACCTGTAAGATCCTGCTGGCTAGTTCTCCTTTCTCATTTCCAAGCACTGTCTCCTCAAATATGCGGCTCCAGCCTTGCTGACCTCCTGCTCCTCCTCCAACACACCAAGCCTTCTCCCAGCCTGGGCTTCTGCACTTGCTGTTTCTCCCATCTGGAACTCTCTTCAAATTTTTCCATGCATTGCTTCCTCGCGTCATTCAGGCTTCTACCTAAACATCACCTCCCCCATCCTTGCTTGTCTACCTCATGATCTCCCTGTCACTCTCTATTTCTTTACTCTGTTGTTTTTTTTAATTGTATGAATCACTATCTGACTTCATGTATTTTCTTTTAACTCTGTCTCCCCCTGGAAAGAGAGTTTTATGAAGACAGGGACTTTGCCTCATTTAATTCACATGCTTACATCTAGCCCATACAATAATTATGGCTCATAGAATACACACAATAAATATATTTTAAATAAAGTGATAATTGAAAGGACACTACAATTAACACTATGAACACATTAAGGCTTTTAAAGATACTGGCAATTAGGGGTCATGGGTTTGAGTTCTATTTGGCCGCTGGAGATAAGTAGTGAGCAGCTCCAGTGTGTACCTTTCTATTCAAGGTTACATGTGTGCTCTAAATATATTCTACTCAGAGGCAAAGGACTTTTGCTTCAACCCAATCACACTGTCTAGGATTGTAAATTTAATGTAAAGTCTTTGGTACAAAATAAAACCAGACACATTCTCTGTCGTACTGGAAAGGGCGCTGGCTATGCCTCAAAAGGTTCAAGTCTCTGCTCTACCATGTTAGTGCTGTGTGACCCTCAAGAAGTCACTATAATTCTCTGTACCTTAGATTCCTAGTCTTAAATTTGTAAAAAATAACATTTCATCTACTTCCATCGCCTCATTTCTTGAGGGCCAGGTGAGATATTTGACATAGTGCTAAGAAAGGCACATAAATATTTTCTCAGAATGAAAAGAAAGTGTTTGCAGCTAATCTACAGGGCTGGAGGGGAGAACAGAGAGTTGTGCCACAGCCATGCACCATCTGGCTCTTTAAAATGCATCCCTCAGGAAGAAAAATGAGATTGCTTTTGAGACTGTAGTAAAGAATCATTTCAAGAGTGATATTTTCCAACTCTAATAAGTCTGTGATCAATCAGTTTTTGGGGTAAAGGCCACTACTTCCACCAACTGACCTGGAAGCATGTACCATATATTTAATGTCGAGAGTGTACAAGCATAAGCAATTTTTGCCTGTGAAGAATAGAAAATAAAATCACATAGTGTAAGAGACTAGACATCCCCATCTAGCTGGGAGCTGAGAGACGTGCCTGCAAAGCACCTCCAAATGCCAGCCTGTCCCTAGAGTGACCAGAGGTGGTGTTTTAGATCCTTTGTGTGTGTTAGATGCAAGAAGAGAGGAGTTTCCTGGAAGGATGTGAAAGCTAGGAACAGCAGGGGAGTCGGGATAGCTCAGGGCTCTCTTTTCTTTTATCTTTCCCATCTGGCAGCATTTTATTTTTACCTTTACTGGCTCCATTCCCCCTTTTCCACTATTGCTCTCTTCTGTTTACTTGTGTTTCTGTAACTCACGTTTCTGTTAGCTCAATCAATGCACGGCCCACCAGGTCACGCTGAGCCTCTGTCACTCTGTTTGCAGTGGCCCCAGACAACTATCCATAGATTTTCAGTTTCCCAGTTCCAATATGTATCGAGGAATCTCACTGGTGGTCCAGCTTGCTTAACCATTTTCAGCCTGGCCATGTAAATCTTGGGTCATTGGTCCCTTCACTTTGGATTGCCCTGGAGAGAGATGCCCGTCTTGGGACAGGCAATCAGCTGTGGCCAGATTGAGTTCAGGTGGTGCAGAGCATGGCTGGGCCTGTTGGCACAGACTGCAGACTTGGGCAGGTTTCCTACGAAGGGGTTTGGAGGCCGGGCATGGTGGCTTACGCCTGTAATCCCAGCACTTTGGGAGGCCGAGGCAGGTGGATCGCCTGAGGTCAGGAGTTTGAGAACAGTCTGGCCAACATGGTGAAACCCGATCTCTACTAAAAATACAAAAATTAGCCGGACATGGTGGCAGGCACCTGTAATCCCAGCTACTTGGGAGGTTGAGGCAGGAGAATTGCTTGAACGCAGGAGGTGGAGGTTGCAGTGAGCTAAGATTGTGCCACTGCACTCAAGCCTGGACAGCAAAGAGGGAAACTCCGTCTAACAACAACAACAAAAAAGTTTCGGGCTTTGCAGACATTTTAAATGGTACCTTGAGAAGGTGAGGGCATGTTATGTGTGTGTGTTGCCCTGAAATGTTGTATACTTAGAAAGTACAGGCTATTACTCAGAGACAAGTTCATTAGGTCACCACATCTCCCACTTGAGGCCTTTATTTTGTTTTCATCTTGTCAATTAATCAAACATATTTTGTCATCCTTATTAATTTTCAAGGCTAACAAACAGGTTTTTGACATACCAAAAGGTAGACTAGACACCAAGTCCCATTAAGTTGTAAGAGCTGTTTTGCCACACACACTTTTATTACAGCAGACTTAGGCTGCCCAATAGATGAACCCTCCCAGTGGAGTACAAACTGGGATCCTACTACACTACACCCCTCCTTTGATGCACACCTACCCAACTCTCACTCAATTCTCCAAGAGGTTCTTCTTGGTCCCCAGCAGTGAGAACTGGACATCGGGTCAAATCCTCATATTTCCTGATCATACTTTTGGTTGTCCGAACCCAAGCAAACACTTAATGAAACTGAAGAAATTCTATAACTCTCCATGTTGGATTCAAAATGGAGGTTTTATTGGCCAGGAAGAGGAGGTCAGGGTTTCTTGCTCCTACCACCAATGCTCAGGGGCAAAAGATGACTTCAGGGTATCATCTTTTTGGAGAAATGATTTTTTTGTGTGGGTCATTAGCATAGACACAGGAACTGAAAATGCTCTTTTCCTTGGCACTAAACTATCGGCACTACATGAGAGCACCCCTGACCCATGGATTGGACAATTACGTGGCCTCCCAAGAGATCTTCTTAGAGCAAGAGTGGGACTTGGAACTCTACTCTCAGTTTCATTCCAGGATGTGAAATACAATGAATTCCTCATGCCATCCCCCACCATAAGAGCCAGAGAACTGAGTCCTTTGGAACTGTCTTGAAGTGGGGACCTTGTAGCTTTCTTTGTCAAGCCCAGGTACCAGTCCAGTTGTCTTTTGTTTAAAAGAAGAATGAGGAGCTCTGGTTCTGCTTGATTAATAAGGCTGATTGTGTAAGGTTGGACTTGTTCAAGGAGGCATTCACACAAATAAGTTGGCATGCAGGCAGTCTTCCCATGTTTGAGAGGTCCATCAGAGAAAGATAAAGTTTCACACCTCCTTGTTGGCGGTTTTATTACCCATATAGGATATCCTGGAGAATCTGAATGACGTTCTTTCTGACCAGGAAGTCCCATGAGGATGACAGAGATGATAATAATAACATCAATAAGTCCCAAGTTACCTGCAGACATTCAGTGACTTAGGTAGGGTCACATATATAGTAAGCGGCCTCAGTACTAGAGAGATAGGTTTCCGTGATTATTAAGGCTTAATGTGCAGACATTTGAGAGTTTTACAAATGCATGGATCAGTTCACTCCCAATTTCTCCAGCCCAGTTGACTTTATGACTAACTTTTAAAAGTGGAACCATTGACCAGGACTCTAAATGTTTAGGGGACCAACCCCTTTCTCCATCTTAGCTCACCCTCTATCTGCTTCATTTTAATATTGAATAATCAAATTCAAACAATGCTAGTATGAAGACAGTAGGAATTTGGTCATTGGGACCATCCTTCTTGCGACAGGTAAACAGCAGGCCACAGCCTCCTTGCATTCCCTTTGTGTTTGGTAATAGAATACCAAGTGACTCTCAAATCAGTTTCAGTGAATACTGGAAGAAAAACGTTCCACTTAAGATGACTGTGCTGCCATGAATAAGATGTACAGACCCAGGTGTCAGTCTCCTCTGCTGACAGGAGCTGAGCAATCAGATCAGATGCAGAAACACAGCTACTCAGACCTGAGTGGGCCCAGTGCTGAGATTTATCAGGTAAGCTAATTCAGGACTGCTTTAAGTTTTAAAGGCCAGTTAAAAATGTTCATTGCAGAATATTGTTGTAATGCAACCTGCCTCAGCTTGACATTCAGTGTAAAGTTATACAACCTATCTGAGGAAGTGTCCTTTGTCAAGTGGCCAAAAAGAACTTGTCCTCGGAGATTTCACTAACAAGGCAGGGCCATAGCATGGGTGAGGACAGCACTTGTTGAACACTCCATTTAGTATTTAATGGGAAAAATGACTTAATAAAGCCTTTTTTGAATTTAAAAATCTCAAAAATTCTCTCTCTGTGTCTCTCTTTCACATACTTTCTCCTCTGTCTCTCTGTTTTACTTTTCTTCTTCCCACCCCTTCTTCCTCTTCTTGAGCTCAGTGGATCTGTAAAATTTGTAAACTCCAGCAAATTTCTTATTCACAAGAACTGTGATAGTGGAATTATTTCTAATGCCACTCTTGATGCAGAAAACGGAGCCATTGTGCCCAGTATAAAGTAACTTATCCTTTCAGCATTGCTCCAGCAGAAATCTCTCTTCTCATCATCCTGTTAAATGACAAGCAAATGATTTTCTACCTATCTAGTGAAGGTAAGTTAGGTATCTAGACTTGCCTGTTATAGATGTTGGGAATTGAGGCTGAGAAAACTTTTGCAGAGGGAATATGGAGAGGCAGGGGCAATGAGTGGCAGAGTCAAGATTGGAAACTGCATTTTCTGCTTCCTGAGCCAGAATAACCTTATTAAACTGTGTAGGTATGCAAGAGGCCATCACACCTCTAAAGTGGCCTCTTTATCCTCAAAGTATGAGGAACAGGCTCACTTCTGTTCTACTTCTGCCTCACCCCAGCGTCCTTTCATTATGGTATCACATAATCAATGTCAGGCAGCACATGATGGGGGCCAGGAGCAAGTGCTGTACCATCCACTGCAGGCCCCAGTCCATGAAGGGACTCATCACAGAGTGTCTGTGGTCTGGCTGGACTGAAATTAAGAGACTTTCCAACTCTTGTGCCTCAACATGCCTCCTTTTCAAAAGAGAGAAATGGTTTAAAAGAAAAAACAGTCTCCAAGGTTTTTCCAGCTCTGCAACAAGGTATGGAGCCTGAAGTGTTATGATCTTAATAATTCTTTTCACCTAGTACCCATTACCAGCACATTATCTCTGATTTTCCCTTGGATACATTTGTCATCTTAAAGGTTCCTCTAACTTTTAGCAACTTAAAATGGAATGAGGGTTGTCACGTTTCACATTTGAACGGTGCCTTTGTCATAGGAAAACCCTCAGTTATTTCAAAGGAGTATAGTGTAAAATAATTCCTTAATTAATGTAGGTTGTGGTTGTGGTTGTGGTTGTGGTTGTGGTTGTAGGGGCAGAGAGGGGGTTCTGAAGAGGCTGAAGGGAGAAAGAGGATGATAAGTGTTACAAAAAGTTCTTCATTTAAGCAGAGAAACTTGCTTCTGGGAAGGGACTTATTTCATAAGATTTTTCCTACTTGGGGGGTTTAGTCAGTTTTACAAAATGTACTGTCCAAAATGATGATTTACTAGCCACACAGAGGTATTCTTCTTTGGTAAATGAACTTGAAGATGGTGAAAATGAGAATCCCCAGGTACCAGGCAGAAGTACCCCTATTAACTCCAAAGCTTGTGGGTGATGCATTTTCAAACATGTCTCGCGTTAATAGGTCATGTGGAAAAAATATTATCTTGGTGAAAGCCAGTTGCATAGATTAAACAACAAATCCTCCAGCCCAAGAAATCACCTGAGGGGCTTAAGGTTAGTATCTAGAATACCATTCTAAAGAATCTTATAAATCTGGAGAAAATTACATTCAGCTGCCTGATGAATTTCAAGAAATATCATTTTCATTTTTAGAATGCAATGACTAATATCCTACTTAACCTTGAGATTCTGATCTACCAGAAGCCACGGTGTGGTCCAGCATTGACATATATAATGATAAAGCTGCTTTGTCAGAGATAGATTTATTTGTCTGTGGGCTATTATGCTATCCTGACATTAAGATTTAAAAAAGAAAAAAAGATACGTGGGCGGGCAAGCAAATCAAGCTTCATATTTTGATCTGAGGAGACTGAAAGACATTTTCTAAGGCAAAGAATTTTTCTAAGTTCTTTTGTTTAAATGAATTGTCCTTCTCCCACACTTTTGAAGGCTATGTTGGGTGCTGATTATAAGTTTGGAAAAACTTTTTAGTGGCATGGTTTTACATGGTAAGACTGACTCCTACAATCATCTTTTATAGAGATGGTCTCCAGATGCACAGTCCATGTGTTTGTGAAAACTGTATCATATAATCATTGCTTCCCAGAACTGTTACCAGAAACCTTTAGAGAATTAAACACTTTTTATATAGAATTGCCATTTACTTAATCTTTTGTGGTCTTTTAGTTTTATATAAATATATGAATAAATTTGTTATTTTAGTCATTTTTTAATTGTGCCTTTCAATTTTGTGACATTAATTACATTCACAGTGTTATACAACCATCACCAGAATTTCCAAAAATTTTTTATCACACCAGATAGAATCATTGTAACCATTAAGCATTAGCTCAGCATATTTCCTCTTCCCCAGTCCTTGGTAACCTCTAATCTACTTTCTGTCTCTACAAATTTGCCTGTTCAAGATATTTCATGTAAGTGGAATTACATAATATCTGTCAATTTGTGTCCATCCTATTTCACTTGCTATAATGTTTGCAAGGTTCACACATATCGTAGCATGCATAGCAACTTCATTCTTTTTATGGCTGCATAATAATTTTGCACAGTACACACAGACCACATTTTGTTTATCCATTCATTTGGAATGGACACTTGCTTTCACCTTTGGCTCTTGTGAAAAAGATTCAACTACTTTGTCTTTTAAAATTTGTAATCAACATTTGCCGAAATGCATTTATTCCCTGGAAAATTAACTCTTGAAGGGCCAGTTTTTAAATATCTTTGCTGGGAAAACAGTTTCCAGATCCGTGCTGGCTTTTTCGAAGGTTCAAACCTCACTCTTGCTTTAAACATTAAATCAGCAAAATCGCTAGATTTTTTTCCTAGTTCCACCAAGATGAACTAAGGGTTGTCTCAGCAAAATTGCTGTCCTGGGGCCCCAGATGAACCTGGATGGTAAGCAATGCACAGCATTAAGTGCAAAAGTAGAAGAAAAGTGAAATTCTAAGAAAAAAAAATGAGTTGCTGAATTCACACTGAGAGAGTTAGCAGCTGGGTGAGCTATGTGGTTTTAGAGCTAAGGTGATAGACTCATTTCTCTTCAGTTTATGTAAATCTTTTGCCTTTTAGAGCTAAGGAAAATGATAATGATAAGTCAGAAATTCACTCAGGAAACAGAACCACACTCAATACTTAAAGCCATAAGAATTTAAGATGGGGGACTTGATTACTTTCAAAATTGTCAGAAGGACTGCTGGATTTGGTGCTAGGAGGGCACTAGAATGAGTCACAAAACCATATTTTACTGATCCTTCGGGTGGCTACTACCTCTGAAACCATTGCTGGAACTAAGAATTTCAGAATATAGTCTTGCCCCTGTGATCCAGGGTTACAGAACCTGGAGTTGCCGAAGTTGGTTGACCAACCCTTTTAATTTTTCTCTTGCTAAGGAAGTTTACCCAAAGAGAAATAAAAATGTTTATTGGTCACAATAAAAACTTTTGAAAATAAAAGTGTAGTACTTTGTGCCAAAATAGGTTTTGGTATTTTCCTTCATCACTGAAGGATTTTTGTTTTTTGATAAAATTTTAGAAACCATATATTTAACAATTCACAGCATCTAGTTTAAGTAGCATCTTTGCACACATTTTTCAGCAGTTGAGATCTGGCAGTGCGGTGATGAGATTGAGAGATTATAGGAAGTTTATGAATTGACATCTAGACGCAGCCATGGAATGGGGATGGCAAAGACAATGTAGATACCGGGTTCCCAGAAACAAGGAAAGCAGGGGATGGGAGCCATTATTGATTAGGGGATGGATCCAAGGGGGCTGTAAAATTTCTGAGTTTCAACAAAAAACAGAAGGAAAATAGTTGCAAAGTTCCATGTGGATAATTCACTTTTCTTCTGTAATCTCATGTAATTGACATGTAATCTCATTGTAAAAACACTAATGAGCTAAATCAGACATTGTGCCTGGACATAATTTAGGATGGGGAGCCAAATAGCAGAGCGAGTTTTCAACCCTGGTTGTAGAATGACCTTGTACTGTCCGATCCTGCCCTGTATGCTTCTGACCCACTTCAGACTCTCCGGTTGGAGGCAGGATCTAAATGTCCCATTAGTGGTTAGGACAATTTCCACCCTTAAGAGAGAAGCCACATTCCTGACTGAGTGTTAGGTTAGGGAATATCTAGGGAGAATCTCATTTCTACAGTTTCATGCCACCTTATGAAGGAACCTGTCATAATTAATGGATTCAGGGGCATTTTATACACATGATTCAGGCCCTTCCTCTTCTTATGGGGGTGGAGGGAGGGTCTCTGGAGGCAGTTATTGACAGAAGGTATAAATTATGCTCTGCTACCAGGTGCGGTGGCTCACACCTGTAGTCCTAACACTTTGGGAGGCTGAGGCAGACAGACTGCCCAAGCCTAGGAGTTTGAGACCAGCCTGGGCAACATGGTGAAACCCTGTCTCTACTAAAATAGAAAAAATTAGCTGGGTGTAGCTGCATGCGCTAGTAGTTCCAGCTATTTGGGAGCCTGAGGCAGGAGAATCGCTTAAACCTGGGAGGTGGAGGTTGCAGTGAGTCAAGATGGTGCCACTGCACTGCAGCCTGGGTAACAGAGTCCACCAAAAAAAAAAAAAAAAGCTCTGCTTTGTGCTTCCCCTCCAGGTAGCCTATGACTGTTCAGCACTCCCAAAGCTGTGAATGGGTACGTCTGTTTAAAAGGGAAATGTATTAGCAGGCCCATTTGGCCAGTAGACCTGAGTCACCGCTCTTCAATATTAGCTTTTATCAGTAA